TACATAAACATTATTGAAAACCCTCACAGTGAAATAATCTAACAGAGTTTACATCGTCAACTAGGTTTATTGGTACCTAAAAATTTCGGGACCAGGTTTTCTGTGAAATTACCTACAACTCGGGAGAAAATGTTTTCAAACGTCAAATATTTCAGATTGTTTCTGAAACAACGTTTCGATAACGAAAACATTTCATGAGCAAAGAGCTTTTCACTGAAAAATCAAATATAACAAAATACGGGATATTCCAATATTGATCCACTCAGAATAAAAAAAAAATTCTGGTCAAATTAATATTTGATATCTAATGAAAAAAATTCATTTGAAAATATCCCAATAACAGAACAGATTCGTTAATTGAGTTTTCATTGAAAATTAGGATGGTTGATTAGAGAGAAAATTGGAGTTTAGTAAGGATGGGCATCTCTCCTTAGGCTGCACCTATATTGAATCCATATTTTTCCCGACCCGATGTGGGACGACCATCGGTCGACATCGGAAGAAAAACAAACACTTAATTTTTAAAGTAGGTGCCTTCATTGGAAAGGGTGGTCCGATACGACAATAAAATATCACTACCGATTACTGACCGACGAGTAGTCAAATCAAAAGTGTTTGTTTTCAGTCCGATCTTTCATTCCGACAGAGTGGTATAATAATGAATAATAAAATTGATTGACCAGCGAAACAAGGATTACCATAATAGTGATATCAAGTCTAAACTATGGGAGGTTATTGATGACCAATTACTGGTAAAAGAAATGATGCATGCTCTGAAGTTAGACTGGCCAGTTATGTTGGGTTTTATGCCTTCAAGAATATAGTTGAACGTTTCCATAGTCATACAATGGTAGTCCTTAAATTTATCCGGGTAGTTTCTTATAAGTAGGGGTCGAGTCAAACCGAGTCCAGTGTAGGCCGTTAAAACGGACTGCATCGGATAGCGGGGCGTCTGATGGTCGTCCCACATCGGGTCGGGAGAAATGCGGATTCAATATAGGTGCAGCCTTAGGAAGACGTCACCGATGAGGTGTTTTTCATATTTAGATAAGAAACATTAGTACATAACAAGCCCTGATGCTTTCTTTAGACTTCATTTCCATTGTAATTTTTCATGTTTCTTTTGATCTTTACAAGTAATTTTTGGGAAAGAAAGTTTATAGATTTACTTCTGAGTTTCATTTTAAATGGAATGTTATAGGTATCCCTTCTAACCTTGTTTTTGTCTTTTTATATGTTATCTCATGATTCTTCCATTTTTATTTTCCTCATATATAAAATCAATCGCACGTTTTTATGTCTGAATTATATTTTAAGTATTTTTAACCCTACCCGAGGATGACTATAAAAGTCGAAATGACGACAGGGGGTCAGTTATTTGAGATAATCCCAACAACTCTGATCGAAAAAAAAGTACTAAAAGAATTTAGGAAAAAATAATTAGATTGATATAGGCGTAATAAAATCATATTTTCAATATTGTTGTGAATAATTCCTTGAAAAAAAAGTAATTCTACTTCTGCTTCTTAATCGTTCCAGATATCGCGTCGCTTCACAAGTATTCTCATAGCCTTTCGAAGACTTCCATCGGGATATATAAGCACTACCAAAAGGCAAGGATGCTAGTCTAGTTAAAAGTGTGGTACGTAGTTTCATAGTAAGGCGATGAATATTTGAGTATTCGTCTGGAGTTCAGTTCAAGTTTTTGTGTTTAATTGTACAGTGTGGTCTATTATTGTCGAACCCACGTGAAAAAGTAACAGTTATGTAAAATGAAGAAATAGACATATGAAATAGAATCATTAAATTTAAATATGCTTTGTCAAACTTCATTCACAATAATGTTTCCAAAGATGTCAACCATATTGTTCATACATTCATTGAATGTATGAACAATAAGTCAAGAAAATTTGTGATGAAGCTACACTTAGACACTTACCTTGTTCAAAAGCTCAATGGAAATATTTTGTGCCAGGCGTTGAGGACTTTTGAGTGAAACAAAATGGATATTAATATATTAACCAATGATTAATCAAGTTTATTCGGAACAAGCACAGTGGTATAATGTTATTTTGGGTAAAATGAAAATAAAATCAGTAAGAGAAACGAATCCCTGAGATATTCCGGTTATTCAATTTTATTTTCAAAATATTCACATATAGTTTCAAAACCAAATAAAACAAAAAATAATGATGTTGATATTGATATGAAAAATATTTTTTTCATAATATATATTTCTTTTTAAGGTTTGTGAAACAATACATGTTTTTATTGGAACTACGCAATTTTAATATATTTTTTGTCTGTAAAGAAATGTTGAAATAGACTTATCTGGTTTTGATACCAGACGCCCCATATTTTCTGGGTTATTTGATACGATTTTGATACTGGAATGATATATTCCATTTCTTTTGATTCCTTTTTCAGTTGCTACTTTTTATCATTCTCAATAGACATAATTTTCGAATGAAGTAGGAAGGAAACGCGAAATCAAATATTATTGTTGAAATTATCGATATTGTAATGTAATTCTGATTATTTTTCTGATGCCGGTTGGACACCACAAAAGAACACTGTTGTTTTCTAGACGTTAAGAAACTCTTCAATTCATTGTGGGCCACCCTACTAATGTCGTTTGAGTATAATTTTGACAAAAGCAAATCATGTTGTACACAGTCGAAAAAAAAAAATTCTAACAAGGCACTCTCCCAAATCGATGAAGTTGATCTGTCAATCAGTATACTTTTGACTCTCTTGAGTCAATTTTCCACAAAAAAAAACTTGCTTGTGACATGAGAAAAGAACTTTCAAAAACTTTGAGATATTGTGCGCGTTCCGTTCATATATTAACGCCCACTGTTCAATTGTTATACAGTGCGTTTCTTTAATACCCTTCCCAATTTTATTTTTTGAACGGGTCAACTAAAAAAATTGAAATTTGGGATAATGAAATTAATGCATGAATACTTTATTTTGAAGTGAAATTGACAGATGGAAACCTTCAAGATGGCGACTAAGCGCCATCTGGGAAAAAAAACTAAATGGAAAGAGGGATCTTGTGACCCATCATTTTGAAGCTCCTGACGAATACTTCATAACTCTAGAGTATGGAGTCAATATCTTTACCTACTACAAAATGGCGGAACATTTAATAATTTCCTGAAGACAAACACATTAATATCCACACTACGACAATGAACATCATTGTTCAGTTAAAATATTCTCATTTACTTTTTGGTTTTACTAGTAGAAAGGTACCACGTCAACAATCTCTAAAATGGTCAATTCTCGTCTATTAGAAAAAAAAATTGAAGCAATTTTTATTTACGGTGCGATGCGTAGCTTTCACGAGACCAAAAGGATTTTCAATGAACGTATTCCGAATCGCCCTATCTGTAGAAAATATTTGAGGAAACTTGTATTCAAATTCACAACTACCGGTAGTGTACATAACAAAAAGCTCCCAGGTCATCTGTCCATTCCGGAAGAACAGCAAGTGCAAATAATTGGTGAGATGGTATATAGTAACTCCTGAACAGTCTACTTAATCCGTCGCGAATGTTTGTGAGGTGTCTCCTTTTATTGTGTGGAGACTTTTGAAGAGGAATAGGTATCATCCATAAAAAATCAAAATAGTACACAAATTAACTGAAGATAACCCTGATCGAATAACATAATTCTGCGAAATCATGACGGAAGCCATTAACTTGTGGGCAGGAATATTGGGAAACCATATCGTGGGACATCTATTATTGATCAAAATTTAACAGGAGAATTGTATTTGAATATGTTGGAAACTACTGTTGATCCTCTCATCACTGAAATCGTCGAAGCGAATCCTAATGAATTCGATATGGATATTGTATTCCAACAAGATGGAGCACCACCACATTACTCCAGACAAGTAAGAAACTATTTGGATACTACTTTTCCCGGTCGTTGAATTGGCTGTTGAGGTCCTACAGAGAGGATTTGACAGATTTGACACCTTTGGACTTTTTTTATGCGGCTATTTTTATGCCGTATATTCATATTGGATATACGGCAGAGAATAATAAATATTTGTAGAGATATTGACGTTACTCTGTTCGAAAATGTTCGACGTGAAAAATCGGATAGGCTGTTCATATGTCAAGAAGTTCAAGGCAACCATTTCGAGCATCTTCTGAACTGACCCCAAGCGTATTACCTCATATTATGTAGTTAAATGTCAATGTATTCAGGCAATTATTGAAAGTTACGCCATTTTGTAGTAGGTGAAGATATTGACTTAATATTTTCTAGAGTTGTGAAGTATTCGTCAGGAGCTTCAAAATGATGTTTCATAAGATCCCCCTTTCCATTTAATTTTTTTTTCCAGATGGCGCCCAGTCGCCATCTTGAAAGTTTCATCTGTCAATTTCACTTCGAAATAAAGTATTTATGCCTTGATTTCATTATCTCAAATTTCAAATTTTTTAGTTAACCCGTTCAAAAAATAAAAGGGGGGGGACATTTAAGAAATTCACTGTATGAAGATTTGCCAGTAGAGTTCAAAAGACTAACCATTCACCACAGTAATTATTTTTCATACACTCATATCCTAACCATGCTATTTTTTATACGAATATTTCAATGTGTCCTTGAAGGTTTTCTCGCTCTTTTCCGCCCCTTTGTCGCCTGTTTTCCTAAGTGGAGATTGATCATCGTCTCCTCTCTTACAGTGCGTCATTCGAAAACAGAAATAATACGAGAAGCCTTTTATGAACAACACGCTCAAAATACACGTGGAGGGAAATTACTTCGATAACTGATACGCAGCAGAGAACCGACAAATTTTTATTGTACGAGTAGATATACCTTAGTTACCGTGTATTTCGATCTCGCAGCAACCCTTCTAGCCGTGTCAATGAATCACGCAAAACAAAACAGCGTCGATATTATTGTTTTTTATATTGTTTGAAACCAGAAAAGTGTTAGTTCGAAGAAAATGTGCTATGAGAAGTGGTAATTTCACTCACCTCCTTCTCTCTGGTCAGCATCCATTCTGGGACCAGTTTCATTTACTCCATACTTTCCTCCAGAAGTTATAAAAAATCCGTTAGCAACGTCTTTTCTCCATGTCCACAAACAATCGTTTTCAAAATCACAATCGACACCAGTCTCATATTCCGTGTGTTTTTCTAAAGTGTATTGCTTATGAAGCTGTTTGATTTTGTCTATCTGTTTGTTGTACTCCTGTTCAACATTCGGGGCTGCTAAAAAAAACAAAACCGTTCAATTATGAGGAAATATATTTTTACACAAATGTATAAATGATTTCTACAAAATGAATCCGGTAAGGCAGAGAAGATGGAGGTTGATTAACCACTGCAACTGTTCTTCCAGTAATATCGGATCATGGATCCTCTGGGAGAAGGAAATATTAAGAGCAGACAGTTCTTGGTTCATAGATGGATCAAAAACACCTTCCGGTTCCGGTGCAGGTGTTTCCAGTCGCAGACCCAGGACAGAGATATCAACCCGCCTAGGAACCTATGCGACTGTATTTCAAGCAGAAATTTACGCTATTGAATTGTGTGCGGAGAGATTGGAAGAATCCAACCTCATACACAAGTCAATAAAAATATTCTCCGACACTCATGCGGCGTTGGAAGCTCTTGGCTCCTACCGACCAACGTCTAAATTGGTAGCAAATTGCTAAAAACGACTCTCCTCAATAGGAAGACTAAACAGATTGTCTCTGGTCTGGATTCCTGGCCATACTGGTCTGGAAGGCAATGAGGCTGCTGACTCCCTTGCAAAGGAGGGTACTGCAAGCAGCTTCATCGGACCAGAACCTGTCATGGGCATCGCTTTAGGCTTTGCCAAACAAAGATTGAACACCTGGATGGCAAGAAGATTCATGGATTTTTGGCAGAATCTTCCAAGATTGGCTCACTCCAAGGCGTTTATTCACCCTTCGATGCTTGATACCAAACAGCTGTTGGACTACAGTGGGGATGAACTATGATGACTAATAGGCCTTCTTGTAAGACCTTGTGTACAACGTCAAAAATGATTGATAAGTAAGTGAATCAAAACCGAGGATAAAGCCACAGCCTTTGCGATTATTATGGAAAGCCAATTTAGGTTGAACATAGACCGTAACGATGATATCGATAGGGATACAAGAATCGAGGAAGAAGTGGAAGACACACTTCAACTCGACGACGAGCATGTCATCAGACCCGTCTCAGACGAAGAACTGAACGGGCTGACCAGCGGTATCGAACCCAAAAAGGTTCCAGGTGCTGACGCAATATCAAATAGGATATTGAAAAAGCTACTGAAAAACCGAATCACGTCACTCAAGAACTCAAGCCTCAGATACTTTCCTAAGCAGTGGAATCATGCTGATATTATAGTGATACCGTTGTCCTCAGCATTACAGACCGATGAGTCTGCAAAGCTCCATGACCAAGTAAGCGGAGAGAGTAATCCTGCAAAAGTTGGACGAGGAGAAGTTAGTTAATTTCAAATGATTGCTCTTGTAAAAAAAATGACTTCAGTGAAAAAACTGTATTTTTTGTAGTTGATCAGCTTTTTGAACATCTGTTCAAAATTAATGATGCATCCCAATTTAATTAACTAATGAAAGCATAGCGTCATAGTGTGAAGCAAGTGCATAAAACCATCTTATTTTACAACAAATGTTGAAATTAATCAACATTTTAGTGTCTGTATATCAAAAAGATTCATGAAATTTAAAAAAAAGTCTAATTCCTCACCATTTTCCGTGTCTAAATATCCTTGTTTGGATATGATCGTATCGTTCGGCTCCATTTTAGGAAGAGCATCGGCCGACATGAGTTCCTCTTCTCTCTTCCTTTCTGCATTCAGTCTTTTTCGTATGCTCGCTATGCTCCTTTCTGGAACGCTGCGTCTAGGCCTGAAGTAGTATCTTATCCTTGTGTGATAATATTCTGGATTGAAAATGTCTTTTTGATCGTCATCTATGTCGGTATTGCTAAATGGACGTATGTCTTGATTCAATTCTCTTATTGTATGAGCACTATAAATTGCATTTATGTTGCCTGTCTTCTCTTTGCTTTTCTCTTTTTCATCTTGGCACTGACTCGGTGTGTTACAGAGTATAAATAGTAATGCAAACGGAAGAAAACTTTGTAATGCCAACATCATGGATTTCACTTAGTTTGGAACTTTTGGTAGCGACACGACGGCTAGAATCATTTTTTGCGGTTCTTTACTTTCCTTTCTGTAACAAAATATGTGAAGAGTTAATGTGAGTTCCTGAAATATTCATGATCAAGAAAGAAAAAATGTCATTCACATTTTTATCGATTTTTGTGAACGGCTTTTTGTATGGATATGTAATGTTGTATTTTCAATTCAGGTAAAATATATTGTTATTTGAGAAGCTGCCGAATTTGATTAACATCAACCATTGGATGTAATTTTTCAGTGACATCACCAAGAAAGTAACAATAATTAGCATAAAAAAATATTTGAAACCGGGCAATCTTCGGTAGTTCTCAGAAACAGTTCCGATTTTTTAAATTTTGCTTAAATCAAAAACCTTTGGAACCAGGTACATTATTATTTATATTGTTTATACAGTTTATTCATTATTTTATACAGTTTATAAAATGTTCATATAAGAAATCATCTGAAGGAACAATCCATTCAGTGCAGTCTTCCTCCTACCTAGACAGTAGGTTTGTGGAACGAAACCTATGAAAAAAAAACTATTCCCCTGGCTAATACCACGGAGGGTATTGGATTATATCCGACAGGTGTCGGTGAAGCATTCTTCACAGAAATGCAGTTTTTTGTGGCTTTTTGACAAAATTAATATAACAATAACAATATCAGATATTGACAAAAGACTTATGGCTCCAATTTCAAGGTTGTATTTGATGGATATAATAATGATAGACAGAAGAATCTCAAACAAATCGTAAATATATAGGGTTTTTCAACAGGGACTTCCGAGCTTTTCCAGTTGATAGCGGCCGTCTTGTTGAAGCTACATCCGTCAAATTAGTCAAATTACCATAGACGGAAATAGCATTCAACAACACGTGCAAATAACAAAATTGTTTTATCAAAATGGGTGTTCTGTTCGGGCAACGTACCACGCGTTCGCTAATTTTACGGTCGTTATAATCGTCCTACCGAGAGGACTATTTGCAATGTGGTAGAAAAATTTGAGTCCACTGGTTCAGTTAACGATCAACCACCACCTGTACGTCGAAAACATGCAAGATTTGTCGAAAACATCGTCGCTGTCTGTGAGAGTGTGCAGGAGAATCCGAGGCAGTCGATTTCGCGTCGCTCACAAGAACTCCGCCTCTCGCAGACCACAACTTGGGGAATTTTGCGTCGTGACTTGGGCCTGTACCCTTACAAAATTCAACTGACCCAGGAACCGAAGGTAAAAGACCATAGAAAACGACGTGTGTTCGCCGAATGGGCTCTGGAGCAGTTTGCAACTGGCCTTAATTTTCATAGAAAAATCATCTTCAGCCGTGAGGCCCATTTCTGGATGAATGGGTACGCGAACAAACAGTATCTTCGAATTTGGGACGATAGGGGAGATGCGGGGAATCACACGCAGCGGGCAATGGTACGCATGGCCCTGTATGACCAAGCGTTTGTTGAATGTCGGTGCTAATTGGATAGACTCGTGGCACACACGTATTTCAACAACTCTGTTGCGGTACATTTCAGGTCTACGCTTTTGTTCGTTAGATATAGACCATTTTTAGTTTTTGGCATTTTTGTTATAGCATTTGTCCGTGATTCAAGTAAAGGTAAGTATTACATTTTTATTTCAAAGTTGCTCTATTTTTTTTCAAGAATGAACTGGCCTGGCCCCTACTGGACCAAATGCCGAATATATTTCGTGGCCATATCGACCAATAATTTGTTCAAATAGCTCATAAGACAAATGGCGTAAACCGGGTAATGATACGCGGTTGCGTATAATTACCCTCATTGGCGTACCATTGCCCGCATAATACCGAAACCATCAGTACACGTGTTTCAGCTGCCCATATTATTGTTTCAGATGCCTAACAAGTACGTGAGAAAAACAAATATCGCTGGTTGGACTGAGGAGACTTTACAGAAAGCTCTTCAGGCGATAGGAAGACCCTCTATCTTCTCAGCTGAGGTTGAAACTCAAATGGCAAGTCACGTTCTCAAACTAGCTAAATTGTTTCATGGATTGACTCCGGTAGAGTTACGAAAACTCGCGTTTCAATATACATAAGCCAATGGCATACGACACGATTTTAATAAAACTCGCCAAGAAGCAGGCAAAGATTGGCTGCGATTATTTCTTGAGAGAAACCCACAAATTAGCCTAAGAAAACCTGAAGAAAACAAGTGTCAATAGAATTACTGCTTTTAATGAAGAATCCGTAATTTTTTTTTTCCAATTTGACATCTTTGTTAGAAAATGTCTCCTACATTGACGAAAAATGGACCACTAGAGGGAATTTATGCAGTTACCGATAATTGCTGGAGCGACGAAAAATGTTTCCTTCATTGGTTACAGTATTTTAAATTGCATGTAAATTCAAGTGAAGCAAACCGTGTTCTCCTGGTGCTCGACAACCATTATAGCCATATAGCCATTCCGATTTATGACTATTGTCAAGATAACGGAATTGACATGTCAATACCGCCACATACCTCCCACCGCTTACAACCTCTCGATACTTCGTTATTCGGCCCATTCAAATGCGTTTTCAATAAGGAGTGCGATATTTTTTTGAGAACTGGCAAGCAAGAGAAAATAACTTTCCCAGATTTGGCAGAAATATTTAAAAATGCCTACGTTAAAATTGCGACAATGGAAAAAGCTATATCAGGTTTCAACTCATCTGGAATCCACCCATTCAATCCAGATAAATTTACCAAAGAGGATTTTGAAGCTGCTAGTCAATATTTGCCTACTGTATCTGATGATTTGGACTCCATAAATAAGCCTGATCCCGGCCCTACTTTCAACGTTCCAATTATACCTCACTCCTGTCCTAAACGGAATTCAAAAGTGATAAGTGCTTTAGCAAAAGACGAAGTCGGCATTGCAGAACTCTCACCATTACCGTCATATACTGGAAAAGGAAAAACTAAAATATGTACCAAGGGAAAGTCAGAAATATTAATAGCTACACCAATGAAATTAATTCTCGAGGAGAAGCAACAAAGAAGGAATAACATAAATTTTGCTCGAGAAGGAAAGGGTAAAAATATCAAAGCAAAAGTGCCATTATGCAAAAAAACAATGAATTAAAGAAATATGGAACTAGATTCTGATAATTCCGAGGACAACGAAATTGACGAGAAAAATCTTGTTGAGGATGAACTGGATGACATGTATGTGGATTCAAGCATTACTTGTTATGTGAAGATTTCGGAAAAGATGGAGAAATTTGGTAGAGATGTGTTACCTGCGGGAAGTGGGTACATGCTGAATGTAGTGGGCAGGACTTTGCCACTGACTATGAATGCGACTTTTGCAGTAAAATATCCTTTGCAAAAAGGGACCTTCTTGGCAAATTTTAATTTAGTTTCTGAAATAAGTTTAATGTTTTTGTTAAATATCTAAAATATGTTTCAAGTTTTCGTTTTTATTAAGTTTTAATTACGAATGAGTTTACTTTTTTGAAATTTATGATATTTTATAACAATTTTCAATAAACACGAGTTTTTCAAACAGTTTTTATTTGCGTAATATTGCCCGACAAAATGCGTATCATTAGCCGACGTGAAGGGTAATAGTACGCAAACCACAAAACTTGGGTTTATCTGTTTTATACCAACCCCTTTTATTTTGTAAAAAATTTGAGATGACTATGTTAAAGGGAACATATGAATGAACGACTATGGCAAATCTGAATTGGACGTCAACGACATGTGATTTCAACAGGACGGCGTTAAGTGCCACACACCTCATGTCAAATTGGATACTCTGCACAAGCGATTTGAGAGTATGGTCATCTCACGTGGAGGTGATGTGAACTGGCCATCGAGATCGTACGATTTGATCCAGTTAGACTTTTTCTTATGAGGTTTTCTTAAATCGCGGGTGTATGCGAATAACCACAGCGGTCCTCAAAGCCAACATAATCCATGCCATAGGTCAAATTCAACCCGATTTATGTGCCAGAGTCATGGAAAATTGGACGTTTTGAATGTGCCTACCTAGACAAGCCATGGCAGACATTTGAATGATGTTATATTTCACACATAACAATCAATAGGTCTTTCAAGCGCATAAAAATGTCGATGACATCTTACACACACACACACATTGTTTCATTTAAATTTAAAGATAGGAAATGCTTAATGCAAGACCAAATAAGCCCAGCTTCGTAACGAAGCGGATCAGTTTATATGTTGTTTATATCTTGTTTATCCAAGATGAACAAGGGAACTTACGGCGATCTGTTGCAGAATGAATAATCGCTTTCCTTTTTTTCTGAAGCTTTTACTGCAAAGTAACTGAATGAAACCAGAACCGAAAAACAAAACATTACGATCTTACCTCAGATAGCATTGTTTCGACCCGCTATAGGTGTCATCAGTGAGGCTAGGATGGATCAAGAATACATTGTTTTAAAGAGCTAACCTGAGTATGAGTACGTGAGGACAGCTCCTACTACGAAAACTATCTACGAGATCTATAGAAAAACATAAATCTTGTTTTTCCGACATAAACAAGAGTTCATACGGCACGAAATAACATATTAGAAACAATCATTCTTGTCAGTTTTTTCAGGCTCTTATGTTTGCAACATGTACTTTGAGGACAAATAATTCACTGGATTGAGGCAGTAATACAATTCATTATCTAACCAACCACCTACCATCAATAATTTATCTGACACAGGGCCGTCGAAATGGGGGGGATGGGAGGGAGCCTCCCCCCCTGCTTTTTCGACTTGGAAAAAAGTTGGGAAATTTTGGGCCGTGAAGATAGAAAAAAATAATAGTAAAAAAATGAATGAAATTTAAAAAAATAACAATGAGAGAAAAGAAAGGAAGACGTAATAAGAAAAGGGGAAGAACCGGGAGGAGGTTGGGATTTCCCAACATGCATAACTTGGAGGACCCATACTTCGAAATTTTGAGTTGTTTTAAAACTTCAAAAAAGTTTAATTTCTCCCAAGTAAGAGAACAGTACTGAACAGTCCACAAATTTTGAAGTGACAATTTTACAAAATTCCCAACTTTTTGCTGTTT